AAGGAATACTGGTCTAACCCAATGAGGTTAAACTCCTTTTCATGGAGATTTGAACCAAGAGGCAAGAAAGCAAGTGCTAGTTGACAGCTGTTGCTGTGACTCGGAGGAGTGGTAGAGGATTCCGGTAGATAGCCACTTATAATGACAATGAGTAAAGAAAGCTTTTGGAAAGACAAAGACCTGAAGAAAAAGTCCCGTGGGAAAAAACGCCCTGATATTATTTCCTGTTATCTATGGTTTAGTACTCAAGAAACCTTAGACATCTGTAAGATTTACATATTCTTAAAATGTTACTCCTTCTGGCCAGCAGGTGGCATGATGGTTAAGGTGCTGGACTCTCACATAGGTATGTGTCTGTCTGTTGCCCTATAGCAAACTAAATAATAATAAAATAAATAATTCTTAAAACGTTATTCCTTCATTTAGTGCTCTCCCTCAAATACACACACACACAAACACAAACTTGCCCTAATTACTATTTTTTTTTTTACAAATAAAACTCTTGCTTATTTGGGTACAAATGCACTTACCACACCGGACTCTCTCTGTCTATTCCAATAGAACTACTGACAGGTCAAAGTTCATGAGTTTTCCACCTTTGTCTTCCTGGCATTGGATAGAGCATGCATCTGTGTTCTATCCAATGTTGTTGAAAAAAAATAAACAAGTACAGAATGAATGAAGAAATCTCCATTTCTGTTATTTCATAACACAAACTAATTTTAAAGGCTGACTCCTGTTTAAAATCATCAGAAAATTAAATGGAGTATTCTGCCTGCTCATGGACCTGGCTTACTCTGTTTCCTGTAGGAGGCTTATGTGTAGATCCTCTCAATGAACTTTCCATGCATCTGCATGAAAATCACAAATAAAGCAAGAAATATGCTGATTAAAAAAGCCACATTAACATTCCTTTAGCTTCCCTGGGAAGTCTTGATATCTAGTCATTAACTGGGCAATCTGCCCTTAGATGTCTTTCTGCCTTAATATGCTAAAGAGAAACTTATCTTAGATTTTTTTTTAATTCTTTATGCTTTGCTGTTGTAGTCCTAATTTGTATGAATCCAAACACTCATTGCCTCTCAAGTGCTATTAGTTATCAAGAGGCAAATGAATTAGAAGGCAGGAAAGGGCAAAGTTTAATTTCAAACCAGTAACAGGGGTTTTGTTGTTATGAATGTGTCTGTTGGGTTTGTACATGCTTGTTAGCTATCTATACAACATACAAAGGGTATTTTAAAAAGTGGTATCAAGTTTATTTTTCAATGAAAAATTGTGGGGCCAGCAGATGGCAAAGCGGTTCTGTCACTGGACTCCCACATGGCCGACTGTGGTTTGAGTCCTGAACCCGTTGGCTTGAAAATCACACCGGGCACATAGGCATGGGAGCCCAGGATTCCAGGATAAAATGGAAGAGAAGGTATTATAGCATGGCCATCACCCCTGAGGGGGGATTTCTCACTTTCTCTCTCACTGTGTCTGTCTCTGACTCTCTAGCAAGAGCACATGCCATATGGCAAAACACTCTTAAAGAAAAAAAAGAAAAAGATTGACTTGGGACTGGGCAGTGGTGCAGTGATAATGCAATCAATGCTCTGTGAGGCCACCTTATATAGGAAGGTTCCAGGTTTGTATCCAGAGACTTCTCTGAACACACTGCCTATGTGCATGCCCATGATCTAGGGCTGGTGGAGGCTGAGGGAGGACAGCTGCATCAAGACTCTGTTAGGATGACTGTCTCTCTGTCTCTGTCTTTTTTTGCTTAGGGAAGAAGCAAATAACCAAACCAAAAACAAAACAAAACAAAACAAAACAAAACAAAAACAGACTTAATTGATATGAACCTTTATAATTTATCTTTATTTTTTAGTGTTATGTATTTGTTTAAAGTTTCATTTAACTTTATTTATTTTACTTTGACCAGAGAGGGACAGAGAGAGAGGGAAAGTGAGAAAACAAACCACCAGGTCTGGGACTCAAACTTTAGTCAGCCATGTGGAAGTCCAGTGCCCTTAACTGCCACGCTATCTGCTGGTCCCAAGTATTATATTCTTAAAGTAATTTATTTCTATAGCAGGTTGAGGACAGTGGCAGAGGGGAGAAAACAAGTTCACTAACATTTTCTTATTTGAATCCCTCTGTGTTTTTTTCATTTAAAAAGCTGAAGATAATGTGATATCTCCTACTTCAATTTCATTCTGAATACCTGTCGAAGCACCCTCCGTGCACATACTGCCTTCTGTACTGGGAAGGATTAAGGCCCTGTAATACGTACTCATTCTTCTTTCTTCTTTCTGCGTGGTACACACTCAGATGACATCAGTCACTCTCTGTCTCACTGATAAAATTATTGTTGCAGAAAAGCAAGTTTCAAAAAGTCTCATCTTATCCTAACAGATTCACATGATTCTGTAAGCTCCTTTTACATCACAAGATGTCACCCCAGTCTCCATTTATGAGACCACGCACAATCTGCTTGTACCCTCATTTTTGTCTCTGTCCAAAAAAGAATACAGTGCAATTTTCTTATTGTAACTTGAGAGGATGATTTAAAAGCCACGACTACATTACCTGCCATAGATAAAACAAAACCTAAACTGGCAATGTAAAAAAAAGTCTAAAAACAGGCAAATGGTTAAATTCAGCCAACTTCTTAGCTTCTATAGGAAAAATTCCTCTGATCGATGGATAGTCTAAGTTTTTACCAGAAGACAAAACTGTTGTGTTTATGTTATTTACTGATCTAGTTTTAAGCCCTACTCAAAAGTTATATATCATTTTGAATTTCTTTTTCCTTCATATTAAAAATTCTGATGCAATTATAAATATTAGTGTAGACTGAACAGTATTATTTTAATATTATTTTATGATGTAAATCAAGAAACAAAGTTATAATGAAATGTTTGTGACTATTGATGCTTATTCTAGAAATTAAAAAAAAAAAATCAGTGCAGTCAGTTCAGAGGATTATCGGTTTGAAAAGATAATGCAAAACAAAGCAGAAAGGGGAAAACAAAGTTGCTAACGATTGTCTACCATACATTGCCCTGAAACGTTCAGAACATGTTGACGTCCACTCAAGCTTCTGTGGAGGGTACGCACTCACCCACCCTTGGCTGCCTGTCACCACTGCTGCCCACCACCCACGACCACCAAGGATGAAAAGCTCATTTGAATAAAAAGACTCAAGGTCATTAACTGGCCCATATCACTGAGAAGACAGAGGCACTGTGATGGCAAAGGCCCCCAGATGCTCACTTCCCATGTGGCTGCAGTAACAGAAGAGTTTGTTTCCCTTTTAAAATCTCAACTGCATTTATGTGGCACTTTCTTCATCACTGACCCAAACACAGTATCACAACCTGTTCTGCTAGAGACTTCCATAGTGAACATAAGCTCAGCTAATGTAGGGATGTTTCATATTCCTCTTTCCATGTTCCTTGTATATATATTCTCTTCAAAGGATTAGTGAGTAGAAAGGGTGACTGTGTGTGTGTGTGTATGTTTTCACTGCCAGAAGGCACATTGCTCACCAGAGAGACAGAGAAACAGAGAGAGAGAGAGAGAGAAAGCAAGCAAGCGCGTGAATCCCCAACAGGACCCTGTCACGCAGCAATCCCTTCTTCATTTCTCCACCCTGACGGGATTTGGAGCACACCTGGTATGTTTTTCAAGCCTCTAGGCCTGAAGTTAGAACCATGGCCAGCTACATGGGATCTAGTTCTTTTAACTACTACAGGCTATAGGCTGGCCTAGATAACTGTGTTTTGATGGAAGACTTTATATTCATGATTCTCTATAGCCAAATGCTACCCAGCAATTTCCATGTTGTGGAACACAAAAGAAAATGATAAATATTATACCACTTAGGAGAAATTACATGGATGCAAGTGTCTATATTAAGTTTTGTGAGAAAAAGTAAAGTGAAATTGCTGAAATATTATGTAAAAATAAAATATAAAGTGCTATAACTTGGAAAATGGTTTATCCCACAAAGTTTCATGTTTTGAAATTTGATCTCCATGTGTGGTGACTGATTGGGTCATGGTGATTGGATCATGAAGGCACCAGTCTTAAGAGTGTGATCATGTTGTCTTGCAGAACTGAACGAGTTGTAGCTGTGATAATGAGAGGTTAGTTGTCACAAGAGAATGTTGTTATAAAAGAGAGCTCCATGCAGCTCACTTTCCCTCGCTCTCCACCTACAATCTCTCTGCCTCTGACAGCCACATTGCCTAAACTGATGTCAGTTCATACCTGTTGACCTTCCAGCCACCAGAATCTTGAGTCTAATAAACCTCAATTTCTTTATAAATTGTGCAGTCTCAGGGACTTCCGTTAGCAACATAAAAATGAACTAAGACACAAAGTAATGATGAAAAAAGAACCGAATTTTGTGTACATATGAAATAATGCTCCTCACTGGAGCTTCACGGGCTAGATGTCACACTCACTGTGGTATCAGATGCAGACGCCATCTTACATCCCAACATTTTCACAAGAAAATTAGATTGCTTCTGAAACTATCTTTTTCTACTAGGTTTAGTGCTTTAAATGACTATACCCACATCTTAAACCTGGCATCTTAGTAATAATTTTCTAAAAATGTTGGGTAGTTTCCAGTGATGAAAAAAAAATTTTTCAGACAAGATGATGATCAGAGATGTTAAAATGTATCTTTCACATCCACTCTAATTTCACAATAGTTGAAATTGTCACCAAAAATTTGAATTTCCTGTGATAAGGCAAAACCATTTCAAGTCCAATAAAAAAACATTGAAACCAAACATATCAAACTAAAAGGAAGCTCTCATGGAGCAGGAGCATGCACTGCTAAAATGACTGTCTAGGGTATCACTAAGTGGAAACATCAACCACCAAGAGGGGACACAGCGTAAACATAAGCGAGGATTTAAAAATTTGGAGCACTGGCTGGGATGGGCCTCCCAGGAGTCCCCTCCCCACCACCCCCAGCCCTCGAGCCCCACCGCTGGCCGCACCTTGGGCTGCAATCTGTGCTCCTTGGGCACCTGGACCACGACCTCCTCTGGACGCTCCACGGGGCCCTTGTCCGCGATGAGCAGCGGCGCGCTCTGCAGCTGGCTGCTGAAGGAGATGTCTTGGTGGCTGAGCGCCTCCTGGGCTGCGCTCGGCATGTCGCAGCGAAGCAGCAAGGGCTGGATGTCGTTCGTTGTGCTTGCCACCTGCGGGGACCGCAGGGCGCACCATCAGACCCTGCTCGGCTCAGGCCACACAGAGGGGCCCAGGGAGAGGCAATTCCCAAGGCTGCTCTTTGCTACAGGCCAGGACTTTGGCCACCCCACGCCCCACCCGGATAACCCAGAGCTGAAGACAGCTTCCCTCCTGGTCCCTAGCGTGACACTGTGCCACGTAAATGTCATTTTTATTGATTTATTTATTTTTCCATAGAGTGCCTACATTCACCAAAGAGAGACAGAGAGAGAGGGAAAGTGAAAAATCATCTCCCAGGGGGGATGGCCATGCAGCAATCCCTTCTCCTCTATTCTTCTCTCAAGATTTTGGGCACGCAGCACCTCTGCCTGGCCTGTTTTTCAGCCTGGACTCCAGGCATGGAGTCAGCCATGTTGGACCTGGAGTCTTAACTACCACATTAACTAACCCAACATTATGTTAATTAAGGAGACACCTCATCCTCATCCCTAACAATGATTACATAATCAGGCATAATTAACGAAAGAATAAGCTACCTGAAAAAATATAAATATTACTTATATTTTCACAGATTCACAGCATTCTGATATACATTATGGGCACTAAATATCTATATAAGTGTAAATAAAAATGTTGGTTACTGAATTTAAGTTTCACAGAATAAAAACTTGGTAAGTGAATAACGGGTACAGAAATGTTTCAGAAAGGTGAGGGGATGTTTTTGTTTGTTTATTTGGTTTTATGTGGTGTAGGGCTACACTTATATGGATTGCTTTATATTTATTTATATGTTTTCAGGTTGTTTAACATTTTTTGAGATTGCTGTATTAAGATCTGTGGTGGATATTAAGGAGAAAAGGATATACATACATTTTTGCCATTTACATACACAGTGATTTTACTGACAAATGGTACATATTACATAAATGAATAAATATGGGAGACCAAGACAATAACGAGGAAATAAAATTGTACACATGTGATTTGAAAAAATAATTTAGAAAACAGTCATACATTACATGTTATGGAAACCAGAGCTATTTAATTACAGGTTCCCCTCCCCCCCCCCGTCAATTGATACATGACATTCACATTTCTCCACACTAGTTTCAACTAGCGCAGTTAGTAGTAATGATAATGAAAATTTACCTGCTGACAGAAAGGAAGAGCTTACAAAGAGAAAATTTGCTTTACACAAATATTTTTAACAAATTATAACATGCATAGTTAAAAACATTAATCATGTTATACCTCTAACATTAAACAGGAAGAAAAACTAAGAAAAGCAGTAATGCAAGATAATTTGGTACTCTTTTTAAAACTGCAAGTTTATACAGTGTTGGTATAATTTCTTGACACAGAAAGTATCTGTGAAACAATGAGGAGAAACATACCCTTTCCAGATAACACAAAATGAAACCGTTTATAGAAAAAAAAGTCATATTAAGAAATCTGCAAATCATCCACCTATTAAAAAAACTCACAACTTAAATCCCAGAAATTACCCCACACTATTATTTTTATTGGAATTCATAGTAATATGTTTTTACTAAGGCATCTAGGCAAAAGCTATCTTGAATGCCCCCCCTTCTTTTTTAATAGGTTTTTGCCATGGGGTTTGCGCACTCACTGGAAAGAGACAGAGAGAAGGAAAGTGAGAAATCACCCTGCTTCCCACCAAGGGGGAACAGCCATGCCACAATCCCTTCTCATCCTGGGATTTTGGCTGTGCACACACACACACACTTGGTGTGAGTTTCAAGCTGCCAGGGGACTCAAACTATGGTCAATTATGTGGTGATCTAGCACCTTAACCACCACATCACCTATTGACCCTCCTAACTGCCATTTTGACAGGATGAACAAAATATGGGCAAAGAAGGAAACGAGTTGTAAGACAAAAAAATTTGTAAAAATAAAAAAAAAAATCACTAATTGCTTTTTGATGGTCCACTCTAGTGCCATCTTTATTGATTTTTGATGTCTAAAATAGCTCCTCACTGCCCAAAATGACAATGAGACTTAATTTTTAAATATTTGTTACAGGAATACCTGCAAGCATGCTGTTCCAAACAACTTTATAACTACTCTACGTAAGAAAATTAGCGAAAGCTTATCAGTACATGTTATCCTACAAGGTTCAGTCCTTATAAAGCACGAAGATTTAGTCAAGGTAACAACAGCACATTTGGAGAGACAGAAATGTGCTTATTTGTCCATTCCATTAACAAATATTTACTGAGTTCCCATTTGTCCTTTTTTAGGGGCTAGAGAACTTGGCGAACAAAACAGACCACACACCTACTTTAAGGAATGGCACATCTAGTGAAGGAAATAGGGAAAATAAAAATAGATAATTTTTTAATACCATATGAGTGATCTTCAGAAAATTCAGAGTAATATGCAAAACAGAAAATATAGGGGTAAAATTGAAATAGATTGCAGTGAGATCTGAGGTTGTGAGTCATATAAAATTTTTTTAAAAAAATTAAAAACAGGCACAAAAAATATTTCAGGTTAGTGCAAGGGCCTCAAGGCTCAAACCATCCTGGTTTGTTCCAGAAGCAGCAGAATGGTCAATGTGGCTAGGTACCGTGATCAAGGAGCAAAGAAGTCCAGAATGAGGTTGGGAAGGGAAACAAAACCATGAGCTTTTGTGAACCAGGGTCATGAGGTTAGTTTGGGGACAATGAAGCATCTGTTTAGAACAATTAAACTCTTTTGAAGGTAGACTAGAGCAGGACATGGACAGATGTGGGAAGGGCGATCTTTTCTAGAGATCAATTATTGTCAGGAACGGCCCATTTCTAAGAGTAGGCAGAGAATCTCAATCAATACTAAAATGCGTATACAATGGAATCAAGTATCAACTGAGAAATATGATAGTGTCTCTATCTACATAAAAGACTCCTGTCATAAAGAAGGAAAAAGAACATGTGCCTACTAGAACTAGAAAATAAACTATTGGAGACCTACACAGAGTACACTCGGTTCAGGGAAAAAAATTAATTTCATGGAGTGAGATTTAAGAATATAAAATACCAGATTAAGCAGACTTTTAAACGGGAAGACATTAGACTCTAAAATGTTCTGTGCATCTGGAGTCTCTTGACGACCATTCATCATCACTAATTGCTTTTTGATGGTCCACTCTAGTGCCATCTTTATTGATTTTTGATGTCTAAAATAGCTCCTCACTGCCCAAAATGACAATGAGACTTAATTTTTAAATATTTGTTACAGGAATACCTGCAAGCATGCTGTTCCAAACAACTTTATAACTACTCTACGTAAGAAAATTAGCGAAAGCTTATCAGTACATGTTATCCTACAAGGTTCAGTCCTTATAAAGCACGAAGATTTAGTCAAGGTAACAACAGCACATTTGGAGAGACAGAAATGTGCTTATTTGTCCATTCCATTAACAAATATTTACTGAGTTCCCATTTGTCCTTTTTTAGGGGCTAGAGAACTTGGCGAACAAAACAGACCACACACCTACTTTAAGGAATGGCACATCTAGTGAAGGAAATAGGGAAAATAAAAATAGATAATTTTTTAATACCATATGAGTGATCTTCAGAAAATTCAGAGTAATATGCAAAACAGAAAATATAGGGGTAAAATTGAAATAGATTGCAGTGAGATCTGAGGTTGTGAGTCATATAAAATTTTTTTAAAAAAATTAAAAACAGGCACAAAAAATATTTCAGGTTAGTGCAAGGGCCTCAAGGCTCAAACCATCCTGGTTTGTTCCAGAAGCAGCAGAATGGTCAATGTGGCTAGGTACCGTGATCAAGGAGCAAAGAAGTCCAGAATGAGGTTGGGAAGGGAAACAAAACCATGAGCTTTTGTGAACCAGGGTCATGAGGTTAGTTTGGGGACAATGAAGCATCTGTTTAGAACAATTAAACTCTTTTGAAGGTAGACTAGAGCAGGACATGGACAGATGTGGGAAGGGCGATCTTTTCTAGAGATCAATTATTGTCAGGAACGGCCCATTTCTAAGAGTAGGCAGAGAATCTCAATCAATACTAAAATGCGTATACAATGGAATCAAGTATCAACTGAGAAATATGATAGTGTCTCTATCTACATAAAAGACTCCTGTCATAAAGAAGGAAAAAGAACATGTGCCTACTAGAACTAGAAAATAAACTATTGGAGACCTACACAGAGTACACTCGGTTCAGGGAAAAAAATTAATTTCATGGAGTGAGATTTAAGAATATAAAATACCAGATTAAGCAGACTTTTAAACGGGAAGACATTAGACTCTAAAATGTTCTGTGCATCTGGAGTCTCTTGACGACCATTCATCCAGCATCCTCTCATCTAAGTTCCTATCTCAGTTTCTACTCCCATGTAGAGATCTCATCATCCCTGTAAAAGGAATCCAGGGCCACTAATCATTGGCAGCAAAACAGGAGGGGCCCTTAGATTGCCTTCATATAGAAAGGCTATGAAAACAGGGCTGAAAGCTTAACTTTTGTTTTAAAAAACTTGTATATATTACATTTGAAACTGTATGATTTCCAGAGAAATATTTATTTGAGTTATAAATATAAATCCAATTTGTCTTCATGAAGTTATTATAAAAATAAGTGTTCTAGATAAACATCACAGTTATGTCTGGTATTCCATTAGAAACCTAGAAGAGGAAGTCAAGCATCTCTGCTAGAATCCTCCCAAGCTTCATGAGAAGAGGTCATGATCAGAAATGCACCACATCCTTGGGGCACAACTGTATTAAAAGCTGCATGTTTCTTTGAGTCATGGAAGGTGGTATCTGAATCCTGGCATTGTCCCACCATCTGTTTGAATTCTATACTGAGTTCTAAAAACAAATTAAGTTCTTCCCTGGAAATACTTTTCTACAGACATGTGAAGAGAGCTTTTACATCCTAAATGTCTCTTTTCTTCTCTAGATCCTTGAGGAAAAAAAAGCTTCTTTCAAATTAACTATGAAAAAAATACTCCAGCTTGTTGCAGCATTAAGTGACAAATTTGG